AGATTCCCTTTTCCTTCACAGCCTCTTTTACTGTACATTTGGTACCTTACAATCTTTTTTTTTTTTTTAACACAACACTGATGAATGATGAAACATTTTTCCTTCTATGGGAATTGCCAAAAATGGTCATATTATCAAAATTTTCCCAGTTCCCTTTTCGTTCGGGAAAATCGCGATTATGATAATACCGCGGAGAAGGGCGGATGTAATTGCTGTGCGTGCTTCCCGTCGACCCAAATGTACTATTATTTTATTTATTAATACGTAGAAAAGATGCTTGAAATTGCGCTAACTACTTGAAATGCACGTTTTCGGGCATGTTACTCAAAAAATTATTTGAATATTGTGAGCACTGATTGAGCGAAATACTCGAAGTGGCAGCTTATCGGATTTCAGAATAAATTAGCAAAATCTTTGCTTTATTGCGGTACCTGTTCGTTTGCAGTATATTGTCCAGAGCCAGCATTTTTGCCTCGTGCAATTCGGGATTTGCCACTACTAAATGATGTTGATTATGTGGTGACGAATTATTCTGATGCGCGAGTGAAACCATACTGCTTGCCACCGTTGAGGCATTTGAAGAAACGTATTGTCTACTGGGTAATTCTACGATTTGTGCTAGCCTCAGAAATGCTGTGCTATCCAAACTAGTTCATGTCATTCTGTACCAAATCTCGATGATTGCCATATTTGTCAAAATCGTTTGACGAGAAAGGAACACAGAAAATTTGGAAAAGTTTATATGTGCGAGAAAGTATTACTTTTTGATTGGCTATATGCTGAGACAGATGCTTTGTAGAGCTGCAATTCATCGATGCATTTGTTTAACGGGGTTTGTTTCTGCAGCTTGTGGAGTACAATCCGTTGTTGGATTCATCGGATATGACTTTCGATGACTGGATTCGCATTGGTAAGGACATCCAGAAAGCATACAACCAGTATGATGGTTTTGTTATACTTCATGGCACCGATACCTTATCATATACAGCCTGTGCTTTGTCATTTATGTTCGAGAATCTCGGCAAACCAGTTGTCATAACAGGAGCTCAGGTAGACTACAACAATTCCTTAACGAATTTCTGGAAAATTCCGGACTTTGAACAATGTGCTTCGGTGTTTGAGTTGATTTGAATCAAGTCAAACGGCGCAATGTGAACCAGAGCTGCAGTACTTAGATACAAATAGGTGTAATCGTAAAATGTAAGCAAAAAATACGTGTGTGAAAGAGTATAATAATATGCCCACAATAATAATAACAATAATAATAGTAATGATAATAACAATAATAATGATAGCGATAACAATAGTTGTAATAACAATAATAATGGATAAGTCATTTGGTGCTTTTTTACGGATTTTTGCTTAATCAGACTACGCGAAGACGCGTCGGGTCAAAACAATTCCCCCTTCGCCAGCATAAATTTACGACCTTAAAATCCGAATAAGTAAATTTTGAAAATATAATCTTCAACTGTACATTGCGTCTCAAATTTGATGCCATCTCTGAGTCTATTTTCTTCCTGTCCTGTCTCCTCCTGCTCCAGTCTTCGGGCCATTTATTGCGCTAGCTCTTGATATAATGAGTTTTATAATAATCAGCAGAGAGATAGCATTTTGATTTTTCAAAGTTAACA